AGGCACATAATTTTATTTGTGTCTGTGGGGGGCGCTAGAAATTCACTAGGAAGCCAAAGGGGGCGCTGGCCTGAAAAAGTTTGGGAACCACTGATCTAAAGTAATACCAATGTTCTTTACTACATGCTTTAATCTTTAATCTACCCTAAAAATTGTCAAACGGCAATACTGACATTTGTGTTCACTTAACTCTCATAAGTGGCAACTGAACACTTGATAATGCAGTCTGACCACTCTGGCGTGACTGCAGTATGCAACCTTCAAGTAAACCATTTTGGGTTGACATGTTGTTATTGTATTCTGCAGGATATTTTGGCAAGTATGTTGAAGTAATGCGGATTGCGCCATCATTGCGGAAGTTGAAAATTTAAAGAAAAGACTTGTTTGTAAAGTGCAAACAGCAATTTTTTTATCAGACAAAAATCCATGACATTGGAGCCAGGAGGTTTCATACCTACTGGAATTACCATCAAATGGGGGTAATAAGGGACAGGCGGGGTAAATCGGGACAGTTGTCTCACATTTCATAGAAATTTTGTAGCAGCTAAACTAATCAAAATATTGTAAAACTAAAAATAGTGGCGTATAGTTCAACATTTCTACTATCTATGTAGCATAAAACAAGTTGTGAAATCATACATATACAATCAACTACCTCTAAAAAGAAAAGTGAGAAAAAATCCCTGAAAAAAAAACAGTGAAAAGTGAGATTTTATGAAACGTACCTTTGCTGAGGTCTGTAGCAAAAAAATATGTGCCGTAGCAAAAAAATTTTACTACCATAAAAGTTGCACACAGGTGTTGGCCTGAAAATGGTGAAATTACAAGCTGTCCTGTAAGTTTACAGATACAGAAAAGTGGTATATGGCTGCTGATATGAAGCTTGCAGTGGACTAGGTCATTGTAAATGCTCAGTGGCATGTTCTGGATATGGTAATATCATATCAATAATAAGGTTGTTGCCATGAGGCTTCTGATCCTGTGTCACTCATCCCTCATGCCTCTTATTGCATAGTAATTGTTGTCCCCTATTTATTTTTACATGCATTCACTTTTGTCTTTTTGTTCCATTTGTTTTAGCTGCACTAAATGGTGACAATATAAGTAAATTCCATTACTATAATTATCAATTCTCCGAGTGAATTCCTCATTCAACTTCATCAAGGAGTATGCTGCCAGAACTGACAGGCTTTCCTGCGTCACTATGAAGAGTGAGTATTAGTAGGGCTGTATTCAATATTCTTTAGTTAATGTGTTTAGAAACCTGTCTCAGTAACTATTTAATTGCTAAAAATGGCTTAATCTGAATTACTTTGTATTTCCAATTAATTTTACTTTAGATTTTCTAGAAATCAGCTCAATGCTGCGGTTCCAGTTTTGGTTACAATTATCTACTTTAATTCTGCATTCATTTAGCATTCAATTGTTTACCATTTAATTGACCTGATGATTTTGAAGTTATGTTCATGAGTGTTACAATTCTAATTTAGTTAATCCTTTTGCTTCCTGCAACTCCTTAGAGATTGAGGGAAGAATTTGTTTATGTTTGGCCTGGTTGGTGGTTTGCGGTGCACTTTCACCTTAAGCTGCATCTGTCCACTTGCTTGGCAACTGTTTTATCTTAACAACTTTCTTACAGTAATATTCTTGAGTGGTCTGTTTGCTGATGAATGTTTTCATTTTTCCTTTCAGTTACTGTTCAGCAACCCCTTGCCTGCCCATGCTCCGTAACCCACATTTTAACTGAATTCTTCTGAATTCAGATTTACTTCACATACCCTGCTCACCTCTTGCTCAGGGTACCTCATTACACACTGTCTTTACATGGGTCCTTGCAAGTAGTGGGTACTCATGCCCTTGCTTTGATCTTAATTGTTAGCCTGAACTGTTTTACCTCAGGGTCTTCTGCTCTGGTTTTGTAATTAAAGATTTGTAATGTAAAATCCCGTTTTAAATAATTACTTCAATTAGAGTTATTCTTTCATTCTCCAATTCTTACTGGGTTGTTGCCAAAGAAACTTCAAAAAATAAGTGACAAGTTTGCCTCACCCGTGGCGGGAGACAGTACCCCAGCAACAAGGTAATGCATGGATATGGTAATATATCAATAAAAGAAAAACTAGTAAAAATCACAGAAAATGTCATTTATTCTACATTTAGTCATTTAAATCATCTACAAAGAGAAAGGAGGACTTCACATTACTGTTAGAAATAGATGAGTACACTCTGCATGCTTCAAATGGTTTAAAATTAGGTTTTATTTCAAGTGTCCTGGATTACCCCATTCCCAGGGGTAATTCAAATTGCTTTTATTTGTGTCTGGCACCTTACAAATGGAATATGAAATTTTTTGAAGTTGCCATATGATAGCCATTGGTAAGAGCTATAAAATGAGCCCAAACTTGTTTATGACATGTTTCATGGCAAGAAGTTATTGACTAAAAATCGTCCCTTATTACCTTGTTTGACGGTATACGATATTAGAGCCGCGATATTTTAGAAAAAATAGGACTTTTCCAGCCCTGGTCAAATCAGAGCGGTTGGACTGCATTATCAGGTATTCAGTTTTCACTAAAATAAAGACAAATGTTATTGTTGCTGTTTTTCGAGTAAAATTATAGATTTGGGGGTAACACCTGCACAGGACTTTGTAAATGAATTTGCGGCTCATAAATGGCTCCTCATGGTTGATGATGGCCAAAATATGGAATTCACAGCTCCAAAAATGGAATCACGGCTTGCAAATCCATAAAAGAACGGCTCAAAAAATCCAGTTGCGGTTCAGGGAGTAAATATTTTCCTCACTAGCCTGCACAGGCTGTTAGGATCATAGAATGCAACCGAGATTGGAAATTAACTACTCAATGCTGAAATATTGTGTGATTCCGAAGTGTCAAATTCTAAATAAAACGAAAATCTCACAGCTTTATAATGCATTTGAGTTTATAATTATATAGAAGTAAATTCATCTACTCAGAGTTTTGCTGCTCCAAAAATGGTAGAAAAGCTCTAATAGCAATTTGTAATATTGAGCAGAAATTTTCAAAAATTGCAGGTAAAAGCTATTAATTTATGTGCATTTTTGAAAAATTGCTTACAAAATTGGCCAAATTTAAATATTTATTATGGAATAAATTAGATAAGAGCCACAGAAATGGGTGACATTGAGTGCAAGTTGTCATTTTTGTCTCATTGATAGGTGTCTTCTGCCCAATTATTTTAGAATGGTCTAATATTGGCTCAGATGATAGATATAATAGTACATGCCAACTTGTAAAGCGATGGATACAAATTGTATCCATTTTATTGCAGGCATGTGTGAAATATATCTACTGGCCTCCCATAAATGGGAATACAGGAGCAACTTCCCCTATTCAGAATGTGAGTGCCAAACTGGAAAATTGGGCACAAGCTACCTATAAATAAGACAAAAACATGTGCACAGAGGCAATTATACTGTCAAACGGGGTAATAATGGACGGTTCTGAGTGTTTTTGCTTAATAACTTCTTGCCATGAAACATTTCATAAACGAGTTTGGGCTCATTTGAAAGGTATTTGCAAGGGCTATCATATGGCATCTTGGCAAAAATTCCATAAGCTATTCCATAAGCTATTTAAGCTTGGCAAAAATTCCCAGATGCAAAATAAAAGCCTCCTGAACTAATCCTGAGAATGGGGTAATAAGGGACACTTGAAATATAACTCGATTTTAAAACATTTGAAGCATGCAAAGTGTACTCATTCAGTACTAACAGTACTCTGAAGTCTTCCTCTTCCTTTGTGGATGATGTACATGTAGAATTTGACATTTTCAGTGATTTTTACATGGTGTCCCATATATTTTTTTACTTGGTGACCCTTGTTATCCTGTCATGCGGAAATGGCTGCAATTATTTTCTGAATGAGATACTCTAATTCTGTCAATCACATTTTTAAGCCATAACCTGTGTGCAACTTTTATGTAAGTAAAATTTTGTAATACAGAGAATATTTTTTTGCTACAGACCTTAGCAGAGGTGCTTCTCCAAAATCTTGCTTTTCACACTTTTTTCAAGGATTTTTAGAGGTAGTAAATGTATGATTTCTCAACTTGCTTTATGCTACAAAGATAGAAAAAAATGATGAACTTTATGTCACTATTTTTTGTTTTGCAATATATTAATTAGTTTAGCTGCTATAACATTTCTACAAAATGTCAGAGCACTGTCCCTTATTACCCCGCCTGTCCCTTATTACCCCGTTTGATGGTACCTTTTCTTGTTGCCCCTTCCTAATTGAACCCTTTTGCAGACAAGCATAAATATATGCAGAAATTTGAATTTTTAGAGCCACTAGGCAGTATTGATAATTATAAGGTAAATTTACTCATGTGGAATTTCAAAATTTTGCACAATATTGTAGTAAATTGCAGATGAAAATTCCATGAAAAGCAGGCACTATGCAAAAAGAAATTTAAATTATTTTGCTTTGTAAATTCAAATGCAAAGACAAATTATAGAGCAGCCATATAATTTAATGTATCTGGCTACGTTGAATTCTTAAAGTTTTTATTGCTTCTTTTTCCATCTTTTACGAAAAATTGGAAGAAGCATCAATTTCACTGTTTGAGTCAAAACTTTCATTTTAATGCTTGTATTTTAATTCTTGGGCATGGAAGAGGGTGAAGGTGTATGGAGGCAAGACAACAAAGCCTCACACACACCCAAGGGGACAAGCTAGGCTTTTTAGAAGGAGCTTATAAGTGACTATATGTGGTGACTTGCTGGATAAAGGGCTAATTGTAAGATAATATTAAATATAAGATGAAAAATTGTTGTTTTGCTAGCAGTTCTTGAAAATCACTTGTGAAATGATTGCTGTTACCTGCAGTTTTGAAAAATACAGCAATCCCTTGATTAGCACGGTTTTGAATACCGCGGTTTTGATTAACACGGAAAAAAAAATTTGCAACCTACCCTTAATCAACGCGGTGCCAGTTTTGATTAGCGCGATCCCTGCAGCTGCCGTGGGGAGGGGCTGGTGTGCCATGCCAAGCCTCGCTCAAGTGTGTGCTGATGCTGGCAGTGTGAAGTGTGAAGGTGAGCCTGGCATTTTGCTCCATCCTGGCATTTTGCTCCATCCATGGTTGTATGTAGTAGTGTTGTCTTTGATCAAAAATAGATAACAGATGTTATGTATTTGTTGATTGTTAACAGATGTCATGGTCAATTTAATGCAGAAAATAAGAATGAAAGTAAAAATATGAAGAAGTGCTTCCATCAAGCCTCTTCCATAAAAAGTAACCTGATTTTAGCTGTAGAAATTTTTCATGTGTGGACACATTTTCAATTGATACTATCAGCAATAAGTAACTTTAATTACCTGACTGTAGATGAATTAGATAATATTCGGAATTTACAGGTTCTCGGACAAACAGGCTAAGGATAAAAAGAAATTTCCATTATAATATTACAACGCAACAACTAACCTCTTTGGAAAATGAATGAGGATTTTCTATGTGGATGAAAAATTTTACTCTCAGGAACATTTTCAACCTTGCTTCACTATTTACTTTGTGCAGCTTTGGATGCTGGTGCTGCCTCCTCAGCCCCTGAAGTTCCAATTGTGTATGTCAAAGAAGAGTTAGTGGAAGCCATGGAGCCAGTGCATGTGAAGGAGGAGTTAGTGGAAGCCATGGAGCCAGTTTATGTGAAGGAGGAGATAGTGGAAGCCATGGAGCCAGTTCATGTGAAGGAGGAGCCATTCAATTATGACGAAGAGGTAAATGTGTTAGCTTAGATGGCAACTGAAAATCTGAATTTATTTAATTCTTCTGTAGAATTTAACAATGGATAGGTTGAAAGAATGTGTATATTTATGATATATTGTTTATTGAAAAAGAAAACGTATCAACCAAAATGAATCTTCAAAAAGTTTTAAACAAGTTATACTGATAGGTGAGGAAAACCTACAAAATGAGTAGCCTTGAAATTAATGTACCAATTCTCCACTAAACTTTTGTCAAGATTTTCAAGATTGATGGTTTTCTTATGAGCTCAAAAATTATTTTTACCTGTCTTGGCAGGCCCATGAGCTCCCCAGCCCTGGTTGTGGGGACCCGCCAGTCCCTCCTCCCCTGCTGTGTGTGCCCTGCAAGAGGGAAGCGCCAAGCGAGGCTCATGAGGCTCCCCACGCCCCTCAACATTCCTCATTGATTGATGGGGTAACAAAATTTGTGGTTGGTAGTGTTGGTCTGGAGGAAAGCATTTATATATTCCCTGGTTGTTGAATTGACTATTATATTGTGTATGAAGATAAGGTGAATGATTAATAAATGAATTTTTGGGTTTTTTCCTGATCAATGCTTGAATCCTATTAAAATTTAATTGCAAGGTGTAAGCATGAAAATGTTTTATTTTGAGTAAAAGCATTTTTGAAGCCCAGCAGGTCCAGCTTGTTATGTGCATGCTTAAATTTTCAAGTCATTTTTTTATGCTTGTCCATGTGTAAGGAATACTGAATACTGAATTTTCTGATAACCTCAGCTCCTCGGAATACCGCTGGGCATTCATTATATTGAGCAATCATTCAACAAAACAACATTGATAGAAAAAAATAGGGTAATCCATCTCTGCTTTTTACTAAATTTTTGAGCCAATGATGCATTTAATGCCACAAAATCTATTGTTGTTCGACAATCATTTTTCTAAGCCTGCAGTCATTAGCTTGTAATCTAGTTTGTTAGTGGGTTTGGTCAGCCATTTGCTCCTTGGAAGGATGTTCCCAGTGAGGCTGTCATGGGCATCAGTGCATCAGGAGTGTGGAGTTTTGGCGTGCGTATTTTGTATGGTTATTTGTGCTGTACACTTCATTCCTATTGATATTTTGTAACCTTTTATTTCTTGCTACTTATTTCGTTATTGTTATTTATATTTCTTATCTGTTTTGTGTCATTATTTTATTATTTCTGTAGATGCTGATGGGAAAATTGATCTCGGGAAAAATTGTTTCAGGAAGCATAGATACATGCAGAAATTCAAATTTGAGTAGCTTCTACAAGAAATTATAAAGAATTATCTGATCAATTTACTCGTATGGATTCTTAGAAATTTTTCATAATATTGGAGAAAATTGCCAACAATAATTCCATAAAAAGTGGTCACCATGCTAAAAGAAATTGAAATATTCTTATTATATTCAATCTAATGCAAATGGAAATTATCAAGCTGCAATTTGATTTTATTTTCTCTAGCTACTTTAAATTAAACAAATTGATATTGCATCTCTTGCTTCTCCCAATTTTTGCAAAACTGTGTAAGAACGTCAATTTCATTGTCTGAGTCAAAACATTAATTTATATGCTCATGTTTGAATTCCTAGACATGGCATGGCTGAAGATGTATGAATGGATGAACTGATGATTGGAGATGGTCGTAGGCGTGATAATGTAGCCTCACACATAAACTAGGGGACGAGCTGGGCTTTTGGTAACTTGCCGGCAAAAGGCTTAATGTTCATTCATTTAACTTTTAAAATTAAAATTTTAGAATGAATTAAGACTTTACCAATAAGTTTTTGCCTCAAAAATCTTGTGCTTAGAAACAACCAGGTGATTGCTGCTGTTATTTGGGTTGAAGTGACGTGTCTTGGTGTGAGCAGCGCAGCAGCGGCGAGTTGTCTACGCCTGGGGAAGCTGCAGCAGCGGCTGGTGGCTGTTGTTATTTGGGTTGAAGTGACGTGTCTTGGTGTGAGCAGCGCAGCAGCGGCAAGTTTTCCGCGGATGAGGAAGCTGTAGCAGCGGCTGGTGGCGGNGTTTGTCTTTCGAAATGTAAATTAAGTAGGCATATTCTTTTTAAACATTCAGCAAAGAAACCTTTTACCTGCTCTGAATGCTCATATGCTTGTGTCATACAACATCAACTAACTCTACATATTCTTTCCAAGCATGCAGCAGAGAAACCTTTTTGTTGCTCTGAATGCTCATATGCCTGTGTCACACAACAGCAATTAAGTAGGCATTTTCTTTCGAAACATTCAGCCAAGAAACCTTTTACCTGCTCTGAATGCTCATATGCCTGTGTCACAGAACAGCAATTAAGTAGGCATTTTCTTTATAAACATTCAGCAGAGAGACCTGTTACCTGCTCTGAATGCTCATATGCTTGTCTCACACGAACAGATCTAAAGCGACATATTCTTTCCAAGCATACAGCAGAGAAACCTTTTTGTTGCTCTGAATGCTCATATTCCTGCGTCTCACGAACAGATCTAAATCGACACTGTCTCTCCAAGCATTCAGCTGAAAAGCCTTTTGGCTGTTCACAGTGTGAATATTCGTGCGTCGATCGTCGCAACCTCGATCGACATATTCTCCGTATGCATTCTTGAGCAAAATCTCACCCAATGGAGAGAAATTCTTGATTAATTTACGATATAAACGAGTGGACCTCCGTTGCTAGATGCTGTTCCCGGTGCCCCAGGCTCAATTTTCTTGTTGATATTGGCATGGTGCTGTCCGGTGTCAATCAGGCGTCTTATTTTATTCATTATAATTAAGACGTAATATTCAGTAGACGTGATATAGATTGGTGTAAAAGTGCTAGACATGAGTCAGCATGGGCATCATCACGTGAAAGATCACGCGATCAAGCCCTCAGTAGTGGGCGGAAGCCGTACTTCTATAAAAGGGCTGGAAAACTTAGTAAGGCCCCGCAGAAGCTGACAAGTACACCCGCCGCGATGGAACTCGCTGTAGAGTTACTATGACCTAACGGTCGACGTCTTAGCTTTACCTGTATCGTATCACTCATGTCTTACCACCCGGTATCAAGATAAGTTCTCCAGACAGATGGTGTCTTACTTATCCCTTACGAACTTAGTCACGAATCCCTGTTCTCAGGTTTAGGTAGAAATATAATAAATCTGAAGGTCCAAAAACAATCATCCGAGACAGTACCAACAGCTGGATATTTTCATTGCATAATTAACCAACTGCTCAATAGAAACCACGAGACAATTTTAAAAATATTAAGACGTTTGATGTGTAAAATTTGAACTTGTTCTTGAATGTTTACATGAAAATTGTCATTGCATAGAAATACCTCTTTTCAATGCATATAATTTGCTTCTTACTATTATCTGCGCCATTTGTCAGGTTTTTCAGTATTTTTGGACAATAATATCAGAGAATGGACATTAGAGATTTAATTCAGACGTATTATTGGCTAGATGCTGAAGAGATGAACGGAGACGCCGAGTTTGCATCAGCAAACTTGCGCGAGCGAGAACGTCCCATGACGCTTATCTGGGGTACAGCATACAGGGCTTTAGCTTAGGCGCAAGATGACAGCATACAAGGCTTTGGCTTAAGGAAGGATTACATCATACAAAGCTTTCGTATAGGGCCAGGATTTCTGCATACAAGGCTTTAGCTTAGGGGCAGGATTACATCACACAAGGCTTTAGCTTAGGGGTAGGACTTGTTACTCTGCCCACCAAGTGTGGGAGTGATGTGGTGGCCCTCGGGCGCGGTTCATGGCAATATCCAGCCTGGCATCAATTGTTGCAGCTGCTGCCGTAGTGGTTGCCGTCTTCTGTCCATCCTGGCTTGACACTTTTTGCGAATTTGAGTTGAAGGCAAAAGTTTTCTATGTTACTTTTATATATTATCGCGTCTATTTTGTTTTCTGAAGTTCATTTCAATATAATCCGATTTCCCTGCTGTCACTTTCAGGGTTGAAATAACTGATGTTAGTTAAGTTCCTGTTTTATTTTCCACGCATATCTCGTGTGTGAGGAACGCTGACCAGGCGGAGGCTGAAGTAAAAAGCATTGATTTCGTATTGACTTTTTTCTCCTCATATCTTTTCAAGGTGGCGAACCTCATGAAACTTGTTTAAATGCACAGTGTACAATTATAATTATACTGAATAGAGATGGTTGAAATTTAAAGTGTTTTGCCTTTGTTATTTGTTTACTTTGCTATTTCTTATTAAACAGATTGTTTCAAAAGGCTAGGAGAAGTTTGTTTTGACTTGGCTATTGTCAATAGGACGTCATAACTGGCTCCACTTAACCTATCCTAACATAATCTTTAGGAAAATCAATTCTCATCAAATACGTTGCCGACTAGAAAATTTTGACTATGCTCCAGGTGGCGATCACGAATTGACTTAGTTTCATGATAGGCACTTGCATAAAACGTGGGCTTGAGTCCGATGATGAGTTCAGCGAAATGAAGAATCAGTGTTGCTACAGCGATTCTGTTGACGCGTACCATATTATGTTGCGTTATGAATTGTGTACAACTTCAAGGGACAACGTAGCCCAATGATTACAGTTCAGAGTACCGAGATTTGAGCAATGGATGCGTGTTTGAACCAAGCTTCTCGTTACAGTAATGGTCATAATATGCTTGGCGGCCGTGTGGCTTAGAACAGCAAAAATTTCGCAGTGAATTGTGGGTTCAAAATCATACTAAGCTTTAAACATTCTGCTATGTAGTGAATCAGCGATGAGCAAGATGTGGCCTCGTCAATGCTGACAATAATATTTGTAGAAACGCTTTAAAATTGGAATGGGCATGATTATAAGCATTTTGATTTGCTGGAATTCAGGAGTCTGTGTTCTTATAAAGTCCATAGTAATGACATGTAATGCATTGTGAATTATGACATCTATTACAATATACGAGCAAGAAATCTGCTTTCAAGAATGGATTTTGATCATGTAGTAATTATAAACATAGAATAACATAACGATGCACCATACATAATACCTGTGTTGAATCTCTGATACTCACTCAGAAGCTGCTCCGTTTTATATAAAAAATCCGGAATCTCTATATTTTCCGCGCCGTATGACTGATATATTTTTCGCCGCATGTTGAAGTTGAACTCACCGCCGCTCTCCAAGTACTGCTTCCCCTTCTGGACGTGAGGCAAGTGGTGAAGAATCAAGTCCTCAGAAAGTGTACAAAAAAAGAAGTACTAGGGCGCCAGTACCTCCGTCGGTGACGCGCCTCACCTTAACAAACTCGCATAGTGGTAAACGAGAGACTATTTTTGCTCTTTTTGTGTCCTATTAGAAGACCAGCTAAGTAGTAAGTATCATAGATAACTGCATGATTGCATCATACATGTCTTACATGAGAATATTAGACAGACTGTGACTGTAAGTCTCATAAGTGGCAACTAAAAAGCCTATCACTGTGAAAATGCTGCATATTTATGCATGTGAAAATTGAAATTGTGGAAATCCTTGTATTTCTGTCTAGTTATAAATAAAGATTGCTTTTTTTTTCAATAATTTTTGGAGTGTTGAGTTAGAGCTTGTAATTTATTTTTCATGCTTTTCAAATTGTGCATGAAAAATGAATTTATATACATAAAATGGGGTGACTTGGACCATTTTTAGCAACTACATTTTTGTGATGCATATAATCACATAGTAAATATATAAAATTGCACCTCTCCATCATAAACACCATGAGTGCAAGCCTCTAATATTGCAGTGTTGCCTGACACCTGTTGCCACATGCGCAGTGCCTGGTCAGAGCGTCAGACTGTGTGCGTGTGTGTGGTTGCTCCAGAAGCCATTGATATCTTATCTGAGATAATGTATAGACTTTTTCAGGTGTCAAAAGTTGTTCAGAGTCATAAATTTCATACCACAGAATAGATATGCAACTAGATACTTATATTTCATGTAAATATCCTACTGGAAAATGTATCTACTATGGATGTACTATTAACATACGTGCATATCTATTCTGTAGTCATTCGAATTTTACAATTATTGTGATACAATAATATTGCTATTGTAATAGCAATATTATTGAAATATTGCTATTAGCGCTGCATTGCAAAATAAAAGCTGCGTTAGTAAAGCCACAGTACATTTCAAATTGCTGGAATTTGGCATGGTCACCTATTGCATCCCATTTATCAATAAAAATGAGACCAAAAAATTGATGACATAATTGAGGTGTGCTCTACTCTAAAATGAGCAGTTTTGCTGTTTTAATGAAAAATTTGATGATGTTAAATAAGAGAAAAAATTTGCTTCACTATTGCTCCATTGTGCATTAAAGGTATCCATTTAATTTTTGAACTACGTATAGCCACCATAAGAACATAAACATGTATATTTTTTGTCCCAGCCATTGCGGCCCCTTCAGCATTATATAATTTCTTTCTATGCTGTTGGTTCAATGTAAAAAAAACATTATACAAATACATCGGCCTATGTCATGGCTTTGTTGTTAAAAGTATATTTTCTCATAAGAATTTGTGTGAATACTAAACAAAATTTTTGAATATTTGTCTCTTGGTAGCAATTAGAATGATGACATACTGATTTGTGATGTAATAATCAAGATAATTGATTATTATATCAATTACAAGGTATGAATAATAACAGTAGTTTGTAAATATTTTTCATAAAGATGTATTATGTTAAGGAGGTTAAAAAAATTATTTGATTATATAGGATGTATTTAAAAAATAGTTCTAAATCTGAAAGACTGCAAGTGCACACAGTAAGGTTTCCGGTACCTTGGATGGATCAGGATGCAGCAAAGCTTGTCCAAAAATCAGTCGCAATGAGTGTAAGTGTTGCAGTGTGTGGAGAGTAAGGGATACCTATACTATTAAAGTTGTTAGTAGCATTTATTTATTAAAAATTACCCAGTGATGCATCTTGAATATGGCTGGCAACATTTTGGGCCTAAAATCCATATCTTGACAATGCTGGTTGCAAACAAAACAGTAATACTTCAGAAAACAGTAATACTTTTCTCAACTAGACTGTAAGCACATGTATTTTGCCACAGTCATGGCTACCTTATGCCCAGTTTACCAGAATGATCTGATAGAAGCTCAGAAACTAGAAATGGATATTCCATGTGAGCTTGCTACACTATGGATACAAATTTTATCTTTTTATTATAGGCAGGCATGGAATATTTCTGCTGATCTCTCAGAAACAAGAATACAGCAGCTACCTCCCTCACTCCAGATGTGAGTGAGAGCTAAGCTTGGAAATTAGGCAGATGCTAACTTTGAATTAGATAGAAACACATGGCTGTGCAAACAATTTCTCCTCTTCCTATAGCCCTTTTCTAATTTAATTTGTGAAAATGAGAAAGAAATTTTGAATTTTTTCCTTCAAGTTTCAAAAATTGCCTGGAAACAATCATTGTCACTGGCATTTTTTTAGAAAATTATGCTTGTTATTCCTTTGAATTCAACTGAATTCAGTTGAACTGAATTTTCTGTTGAACTGAATTCAACTGAAAAATTGGGCTAAAGCCACCTGTTAACATAGACTAGAATGATCAGATGATCATAGACTAGAATGATCTGATGATCTCAGACAATTTTACTCATACCTCTGTCATCTGTGCAATTTATCCTTGAAAATTTAAAAAATGGCATGTTTGGCCTGCAATTTTGTAAAATCATTTGTGCAATGATTGATTTTACTGGTGATTGTTGGAAAATTTTCACAATATTCAAAATTAATGTGGAGTCATTCAAGTTCCTAAGTAAAAATGATAGGCAAATGACATGCAAATCATGGCATTATTTTATTAAGATTATTGGATAGAATCTCTAGTATATATATATTGAAATTAGGTAAATGATATCCAATTTATCATTCCAAGCACTTGATTTTAATCATTGCATTTGGAAATTATTTAACATCAACCTCATTCATTTGAAAACAAATTTTGAGTGCAATTCATCTAACAAAAATTACAGTACAAATTTTTTCCCCATTATTAGGGAATGAATGATTTGCTTTGCTTCTATAAAAGAAAACATTTGACACCAAGCATCTTCATTTCAATAAGTATTCAAA